TTCTTCTGTTTTCTAAAAAGTTACTGTTATCTAGTTGGACGGCTAGATGAACACTGCTTCAGTTCCCAAACCTCTCCTCAGGGGCACCTCAGCCGTTCCATGATCTTGTTAAATTTCACCAACAGCTCAATTAAATAATTAAATAAACTGGTTTAAAAAGTAAGTGACAGATTGACTAGCTGTATGAGGTGTGCTAGTGGCCAAGTCAAAACATACATGGCTGCACTGGACGGTCGCTGCAAATACTGGGATGATTTTAGCAGAAGTTCTGAAATGGCTAAGCTGACACACTTTGACAGGCATAATACCATAGTTTTACACCAACACGAGGATAATCTAAACATCATTTTCTTTGCCTGCCTAAGACTTTTGCACAGTACTGTATATGAAGGATAAAAAGGAATGGATGGATAGATGAAGACTAATGGCCAGATGACTGTGTTGCCAGTCAACTCTCACTTCCTGCGTATCTTTGTGTTTGGCCCCATCTTCCACTCCATATCCATCACCCACTGTTCCCTCTACTGTGCACATTCAGGCAACACAGGCCAAGCAAAGGGCCCTCCTGGAGCGTGTCGATGCCCTGGACAGGGAATGTGTGGACCTGCAGGGAAGGCTGGGTCAGGTGGAGGAGAGCCGGGCGGAGCTGCAGGAGAAGCTAAGGCTGACTGTAGAGGAGAAGGAGCTGCTTCAGGCTCAGCTTAGCCAACAGCAGGTAGCCCCTGCCCTGACTCCAAAGTCACCCGACATCAGATAGGCCAGAGCTACCCCCACGCCAAAGATACCCGACATCAGATAGACCAGAGCTACCCCCCCGCTCCAAAGCCACCCAACAGCAGATAGACCAGAGCTACCCCCACGCCAAAGACACCCGACAGCAGATAGGCCTAAGCAACCCCCCACGCCAAAGCCACTTGACAGCAGATAGGCCAGAGCTACCCCCCCATTGCAAAGCCACCCAATGTTGTAGATGGGTGGTGTTCATGGACAAAAGGATGGTGTAAATGGGTGGTATCAGTGGGCAAATGCGTGGTGTAAATGGGTGATGTCAATGGGCAAATGGATGGTGTAAAAGGGGATGGAATCAATGGGCAAATGGGTGGTGTAAATGGATGGTAAGTTATGTTTCCGTGTGCTGCGTAAACCTCCTTTCTGATTGGATGCAGACACTGAGATGAACACGACCTGCCGCTGTCTTCCTGTGCGTCCCCTTAGGTCCTCGGTGTGCAGCTACAGGGGGAAACTCAGGCTCTGAGGGTGTGTGTGGAGTGGCTCCAGGGGGAGCTGGAGGAGCAGAGGCAGCGGGAAAGACTGCTGGTGGCCTACCCTGAGCTGTGCCCCCCCGCCCAGGGGTCCCCACAGAGTATGGCTGCCTTATTCTGCCACCCACTGTGTGTCTCAGGCAGCATGGTTTCTGAATAAAGGCACCAGTGGTGTACTGGTTCAAGGCCCACGACAGCAGTGTTTATTATCCTGCTGATTGAATGTTAAATTTCCATTCAAAATGCTTTGTAGGTATAACCTGAGAAAACCAGCCGAACACTGTCATATTGTGTTTGTTATTCCTATATAAATCTGATGATGATGGTAGTAGGGATGATCCATGCTGTGTGACTCTGGCGCCCTCTGTGAACAGCAGCGAAGCATTGCACCCTTGCGCTCTGCCTCCTGACCTCCCAGGCACAGGTGATGTAATAGGGGACATGGAGCAGCAGCTGTGTGCCAACATGCTGCGGATTGGTGTCCTGGAACAGGAGAATGCCACCCTGAGTGCCAGCTTGGCAAAGCTGAGGGAGAAAGGACAGCTTGGGGACTACAAAGTCGCAGTAAGCCTTCACCTTTGTTCTTTACATTCACCGTTATATGTCTCCTTAAGGTGACAGTACATATAGGAACAGGCATCAGGAAGCACTGCTTTGGGCTGAACTGTGCACAAAAATGAAGCGCTACAGGAAGGTTCCTCTGTGGTTCCCCTGCAGGTGGGCTCACCATACCAGCTACGGTCCCACTGCCCAGCTAAGACCCCAGAGGACAGCCAGGGGAGCTGGCACCCCAGTCCAGAGGGCCTCTCTTTGTAAGCTCTGTTAGAAGCCATTACAAACATGACTGTTACAGTAACTGCCTGTCCAATAATAAACCAATAAAATGGCTGTCATTGTAAGCAGTCTGGTCCTAATGTAGTGATGTAGCCATCATTACAGCAAACAGTACTAATGTAGTGATGTAGCCATCATTACAGCGGACAGTACGAATGTAGTGATGTAGCCATCATTACAGCAAACAGTACTAATGTAGTAATATAGCCATCATTACAGCGGACAGTACTAATGTAGTAATATAGCCATCATTACAGCGGACAGTACTAATGTAGCGATGTAGCCATCATTACAGCGGACAGTACTAATGTAGCGATGTAGCCATCATTACAGCGGACAGTACTAATGTAGCGATTTAGCCATCATTACAGCGGACAGTACTAATGTAGCGATTTAGCC